CATGATATCAAATCCATTTTCAAAAGCAAAATTACTTTTGCAAATGTTTTTGAATATTTTGTGGGGAAAATAATGATGCATTAACTTAGGAAATAATGTGCTTGATATACCAGAAGGTTCATTGGAATGGAACTGAGAAACTATAACTTATTAATCAGATTCAGAGATATTATGATGTTCGTACTCATGCATATATTCACTGGGCTTAACATGCAGTTAAAAAATATTTTGTGGAAAAATCATTTTAAATTCCCTTTTATGCATTTAAAATTTTTCTATTCATGAAAAAATACAGAAAACCCAATATTTTTCTTCTTAGAAATCTTTTATTTCTTCTGGTCTTTGGAAATGGGAAGCTTACTAACAGCACAAAGAAATGTTCTTTTTGTTAGCTAGTGCATGGATTTTGGCGGGGACACTAGTGCAGGCTGAGGCCCAGTGCTAACTTACCATCATTTGAAGCTGCGGACTATAAGAATTCATTTCAATGAATATTAGGCATGACACTAATTTGGTATTAAACTCTAAGCACATTAGCAATTACTGTACAATGCACTATTACTTTCCAAGTCTCTGCAGTAAGTTTTTCATCATTAATGGTTTATGTTTTGTTTTTTTTTTCATTTTATGCTGAACATATAATTCTCAGCAGTATGACTTCATAACAGCCTAACCATTAGAACTTTTACTATCTCCATTTACACATGCATTCCTGATGGCTGAATCTATCTATAAAACACAATCGTAGAGTAATATAATTCTATAAGTGATAATCAGATAGGTGGTTGACATGCTGTGCTTAATCCATAGGAAGCCCATGTGTCTAAACTCCAGATTTCTATTACAATGAAATGAAGAGAGCCTTGAATTCTTTTCTGACTCATCAAACTGTAATTAAAATTCTGTTGTCAGACTTGTTCCCCTTTACAGTCCAAAGACAAGTTCTGTGGTGTATTATTAGGCTTTGGAATAGGGTGATTGCTTTCCTAAAACATATTTACACAAACAAATGCATAAATGGATTTGTAATGTGCCTAAAATAATAGGTATTCTTGTTATTTATATTCCTTAGCTTTACTTTTCTATCAGTAGCTTTGAAAGCAAAATTTGAAAATTTTTATGAAATAGAGAGGCTCATTGGTCCTGAATTAATTAGGGTGACCAACTGTCCTGGTTTGTCCAGGACCAAGGGGTACCTAGGACTTCAGTTTTAAAACCAGGACAGTCCCAAGCAATTTTAGTACTAAAACCAGAACAACCTCAGGCTAATGGGTTCAGATGATCATCCTAAAACAGGATGAAATGGTGCTGGAGTGAAGACAGTTTTAGGAAAAGGAACCTGTAAAACATCTGTTGCCTACTCTTGCTGGATTTTCCAATTTTCACCTCTTTCTTTGTCCCTAGCCTCACTCCACAGTCAGGCTAGTTAATGTTAAGAACACTCTTATCTCTCTGGGTCCAGAGTTAAGGCAAGAGAAACAGTTGGGATTCCTGTAGAGGGCAATGCAGGGAGATAAATAAATACCATTTATTAGGTGGGTGATTTTGTGCCTCTGTTTTCTCAAATATAAATGGAAATAACAATAATGTCCAATTTGTAGGGTTACATGAACAGTGCCTGCTAGGCATTAAGAGTTCAAGGAAGCTAGCTATTTTTATTATGATATTGGTTAGGATTGGCAATTTAGAGCAAGCTAGTATGTCTACCAGTAATAGTAACTTCCATATCTAGATTCTTATGGGTACTTGTTACTGCTATGAATTTTCTGTAAGGGGTGGCTTTCATGGTCCAAAAAGCAAGCTATGTTTTTTGTTTGTTTGTTTCTTGCAGTTCAACATATGCACATGAAATGGCAGAAGAAAAACTTAGGACTATTCCAAGAAATATTCCATCAGTGGAAGGGGCAGACTGGATGGCAAAATTATCACAATTCTTTTGGGGCAAATTATATTTTTAGTGAAGGATTATAACTTCTTCAGACTTTATTTTTTAATAGCAAGTATCAGGATAAAGCTGCATTATTGAATACTTTATTGAAGGATTCTGAGATTTGAAAGAAGGCCTGATAATACTTAATTCTCATTCATGAAAGTTGAATGCAAAATTGAAGAGCATCAACATGCCACAATTTGGTCTGGCTACTGGTAGAGTGTTGCTTCTATTACAGTTATGACAAAGAGAGACTGCTGAAAAGTAGGTTGTGAGTTGACTATGGAAAGTTAGAGTATGAACTCAGTTCCTTCAAAATTGCATTGTTCTCTGTTTTAACATCTAACATCAAGACGTCATTCCAGGCAGGCAGTGGGAGAGTCAGTATATGTCATTCAACCCCAGTTTATTCCAGATTTGTGGCAGCCATTTCTAAATGAGCAGAAAATAGACTTGTGCCTGATCTTTGATATTAAATTTTACCGAATTACTGTATGACACATAGGAAGACTAGTCTGTTGAAAATTAACTACAGGACCTTGATTTTTCACATAAAATTCATTCCTAGCACTTACCAAGTACAGTGCAAAAGGGGGTTAAGAAAATAGTGGAATCACTCAAAAGTTTGAGCTAGAAAATCAGGTCCCTAAAGCCCTAAACAACCAGTTGAGGAAATCATTGAAAAACTTTCTTAAAATATTTATGTTGAGTTTAAGAATAGAAGAGAATACCCTAGAATTCTGGATTTTGCATATAGAATTATAAAGTATTTAAGAGGAAATTAAATTATTTTTTCATAATATAGGCTAATACAACCAAATATATTCTTATACCTTGAACATTTTTTAAAGCATGTCAACTGTAATAGTCATTTCTTCTTGGCTATTTTCTTTCTTTGCATTTATTACAACTGATTTCTGAATTTCAATATGGGATTAATCATGGAATATATTTTGTATCACAAGACTTCCATTTAAATGAAAATGCCACATGAATATATCCTATGGTTGCATGTAGATATGATAGTTTAAATAGTGAAACAAATTATGTCACTTAGTGTAAAAAAACAACCCTCACTTTTGTTCAAAGATACCTGAATATTTTTTTGGTTAAAATGCAATTTTATTTTTGATGGAAAAGTGCTTTTTTTTTCTATTTTCATTGTACATGTAGCAGGCTTTCTACTTTGTGCTGCCCAAATACATTAAGTAACCTCCTTGAAGCCTCAAATGAACCTTAAAATATAACCCTGCTTAGCAGTTAAGTAATGATGTTACTTATACAATGTTTTGACATAGTTTTAGACATAAACTCTTGGCCACCTGGACCTCTATAATAGATTGATAGGAAAAAGTTTTAAGCATTTTCCCATGGAATCAAAGAATTCCCATAGGTTAGAAAGATAAGAACTTGGCCTTTTGCCTGGGGAAAGACAATATCACAGAAGATCTTTTAGAATAGTGTCAGTTATGCAAAGCTGTAGTATTTCTGCTTGGTTTAGTTTTAATGAAGACAACAATGAAATTCAGAACTATTATTTCCTGCTCTCAGTATTTATAAGTTATTCATGTTTTGTGTGTTACAAATGAAATGTTTTGGGGATGACCCATTTTGTGTATTATACATTCATGTTGGAAAGCAGAAAACCTGTCTTATAACATCTGTACTAAGAGAATTAGATCATAATCTGTGTGGAAGAATGTTTAGGGTTATATATTCTTTGTCATTTACACCTCTTTAAATCAAAAAGCTTACTAACTTGCTGTTGGCTTGCCCCCTTTTTCCTTCTCCCTTCTTCTTTTCTTAGCTCAGAGAGAAAAAGGTGTGCATTCAAAAGTAAAAGAAAGCAAGTTTTTATTCTTTTTTGAGGCTAATATATCTGTCCTTAGCTATAGTTCTAGATTGCAATTCAGTTTTAAACTATTACCTATCTACTTTGTTTTAGTGTTCAAGATGGCCAAGTGTAGCATTGAGGTTTATATCATTCCGTGCCCAAGAATAATTAGAAGGCTGCTAATAAAGATGTTATACAATTGGATGAGTTGGTGAAGATTTAGGTAAATATTATAAATTTAGGTAAGGATTAAGTAAATATTTGGCGCTTTTAAACATCATGTGTTTCAATGATGTCAGAATTACCCTTGAACAGAAAGGATGCTACTTAATTGTCATCACTTCAGGAAATAATCTAGTGGGCAGGAATAGGGGTGAGGGTGGGTAGAAGTGGAGTGAGTGGTATAGCCCTCCTCTTTAGAATCTTCTCTCTTTTACAAAGTTTGTGTCTTGCTATTCAGGTGGAAGGGCACAGACCTAACAGCTTAGTTGTCAGGGAAATGATATTTTTAAAGGTATGGTTCAATTTTAGGATGAACTTTTTGGAGATCAGCAATGATTTTTCCCATGCTCCCTATACCCCCCACACCGAAAATAGTTCATTAACCTGAGTTTGGAAAAGGTGGAAAGGGGAGGAATTAGCAGGAGCAGGCAGTGTGGGAATGCTTGGGGGGCAGAAGGGGGTGGGGAAGTCAGAAGCCTCCTCCCCCTTCCCTTCCCCAAAGACACCTGGATGTTAGGATGTTCAGGGGAATCCAGAGTTGCTCTATCTCCTGAGAGGCAAGTTTCTTTTCCGGCCTTGGCCACCTGTGTGCTGCGCTCCGGGTGGGAACGGTGGCTTGGGAGTAGGGAGAGTTCAGACACGTGACTCGGAGCCTTTCCTGGTGAGGCTGGTGGTCAAAATACCTCCAGAGCTCAGAGCTTTTAAGATGCAGAGTACGCTTTGCTCGCCCACGTTTCCAGGATTGTAGTCCCTTGTCCTCAAGACTCCTCTGCTCTGGAGCCGGCTGTCACCTTCCCAGTGCCTGGGGTCCTTGCTGTCTTTCCCCTCTCCCCTCCCCACCCCCAAAGTGGGGCTCCCGCCTCGCTCCGCCTGCACAGCCCCTGGTGCGCCCCGCAGGGTTATCAGGCTCCGCACACGCACCACTGGCTTCCTCTGGCTCCCAGCGCCAGTGACCCCGCAGCCCAACCGCTGCCCGGGAGCCTCATCGGAGCCCGGGTCTCCTGCTCCCGGACCCCCTGCAGCGCCCACCGCGCCAGGCTTCCTCCCGGGGTGGACCTGCCGTTCTGCTCATCCCCACACTCAGCCTCTCCATCAGCCCCGAGAAGTGGAATCTGCACAGAAACTCTCCGTGGCTGGAGCCCGCGGACTGGGCATGCTCAGAAGCCAGGGCTGGCTTTGGTCTCAAGTAGGAAGCTTTTGCACTCGGGAGGCAGCAGCGACTTTGGGGAAAGTTGATCGGAGAGGGGAGGAAGCCCCGAGACGCGGAGCAGCGCGGGGAAGGAGCCCCCGGCAGCCGGGAGGAGCATGGGCACCCTGCGGGATCTCCAGTACGCGCTCCAGGAGAAGATCGAGGAGCTCCGGCAGCGGGATGCTCTCATCGACGAGCTGGAGCTGGAGTTGGATCAGAAGGACGAACTGATCCAGAAGCTGCAGAACGAGCTGGACAAGTACCGCTCGGTGATCCGGCCGGCCACCCAGCAGGCGCAGAAGCAGAGCGCCAGCACCTTGCAGGGCGAGCCGCGCACCAAGCGACAGGCGATCTCCGCCGAGCCCACCGCTTTCGACATCCAGGATCTCAGCCATGTGACCCTGCCCTTCTACCCCAAGAGCCCACAGTAAGCCGGGGTTACGCGCAGGGGGCCCTGGGGCACCCTGTGCGTGGGGAGCTGCGGGTCTCTGTATTGTGTCTGTGGGCCCCCGCCCCTCCCGCTTGCTATGTCTGTCCTCATCCTCAGAAATGTTTCCTTTACTTGCGGAGCTGTGCACGTTTCTACAGCCAGACTCAGCACCCAGGCTGCCTTCCCGTCTTTGTCGGATGTCGAGCTATTTTTTTTTAAATATGTGCATTCACATATGCCACCTACTGTACAGAGAGTTTGAATGCGCCCCAGGTGTGTGTCTGGCTGTGTGTGTGTGCGTGAGTGTGAGAAGCGGAAGAAAAACCCCATTTCCCAAATGCCTTGGCAGAGCTGCCCAGCCGGAAAATCCTAAATGCAGGCTCATCAGACTTGAAATGAAATGCGTCTGATATCATCCTTACTTTCTATGCGTTTGTGGCTCTCCCGGGTTTCTCTCCATGCTGGCCCTTCTCGCTGGTACCCTTCAAACCTGATGCTCTGTCATCATCAAAGTGTCAAAAACAAGCGAACGCGCATATCTAAGGGAGGATTTTTTTTTTAATTTCCTCAATTGGATGACATTTGCAATCCACACATGGAAGCCTAGTCTGTTGATTTCTTAAAGAGCTTTTCATAACATCGGAGGGAGAATATTGCTTGTTTTCCTTCCGGAATTTGCATACTGTTACTAATGGGGCACCTCCTCCCAAGAGGCTTGCATGTTTCCAGGCTCAAAAATAGAGAAGTGCTTTTCCTTTACTGAAATGGGAGACACATTGTTTGCCTTATCCCTGGCTTCTGATGCAACTGATCCGTGTTGTTCCAGCATTTTAGAGAACTATGTGGTTCTGATGTCAGTAGGCTTCACAACGTGGGTGGAAAGATTGAATGAAACTTGTTCTACACCACTTAACTCTAGAGTTCTTATGGAGAGTAAAGGGACAAGAACTTACGTTAATAGGGAATGAGCGCCCGAATGAAAGTTATTTTTAATAGATATGATAATTGATAAAGTAAAAGGTTTTGATGCTCTATTCCTAACTACATCACACATTGGCTAGATGACGCGTTACATAATAATACAAGGTCCCTTGGAATCCTTCACTCCCTAAACACAAGGGACTGATATAAGGAGAAAGAGTAAATACTTGATTATCTTCATGTGTATTTGCTGTGTTGGAGGGAGCTTGAGCGTATGTACTGATGATACTTCTGGAAACTTAGAGTTAGACCTATACTTGTTGGTTCCCATAGAGCATGTGCTGTTTCTCATGCAGGTTGAGCTTAATGAGGAGATTTTGTTCCGAGAGAGTGAGGAAGAGACCGTATAAACGCTTCTGAGCTTCTGACTTCACCAAGTTGCCCTAATAGTTTGTTGTTAGACTTAGATCTGCCTTAGAAACCTGCATGGTGAATTAATTTGCAGTCCTGTTATGCTTGCCTGTTTTAGCTAACCAGGTACATGGCCATCGCTCCTGGGCCAAGTTTTGCATAATGAAAAAATAAAGGCAGCTCTGCATCTTTAAGGATTCTGCAGGATCTCATTTTAGTATTGGCAGGACTTTGGAGTAATACAGAGCAAAGTCCACTTTTATAAAAAGGCCAGTTTAATAGGGTTTATAATGAAGCATGATAAATCTAGCTGATAACTGCAGTGAAATGTATCAGACAAGATCCAAAGGAATCTAGGCAGTAAAGAATGAGCTGAAGTTTTAGAAACCTTTTAGTGCTTGACATGGAGAACTACTAGACTTTATTTTTAAAGCCCATGGTGGAAAATGAAATGAGTGTGGCAAATAATTCTATTGTAATAAACGTTTTATCTATGGAACAATGCTGTGCATTCTGATATTTAATAACTTGGGCTTTAAAGAAGTCAGCCACTAAGACATCTCCATGATGATTTTGGTGATTCTGAAGGATTATATTGAAGAAAATGATAGCATGTCTTCCAAGCTTAAATAATTTTGGAAAAACATCTGTTCTTTTTTCACACTTACATAAAACGAGAACAAAATTGACTTAAATGGTAGAGTGTACCCCTCAAGAGAAAGAGAAGTATATTGTATGCAAAATGATTATTATCATGTCATTGGAATGATTGTACAAGATAGCTCCACAACGAATTAGGAAAACTTGACAAGCTGAAGATGTGTTTGAATTCAGTTTATTCCACTATAAGTAATTTGATTACACAGACTTACTGTTAACAAGTGTTTGTCTTTATATTTCATCTTTGGTGCAACTTAAATTTAGTCATCTTTCTTGAACTTACACACAGGTTATCATGGCTTCAAGTTAAAATGAAACCATTTAAGTCACATAAAACTGACTTTAACTCATGATCTTGCTAGTTTTCTATTTTCTCTCCATTACATGTAGGTAACTGTTCTGCTCAGTTATTTGATGAATGAAAATATGTTCCTGCTTACTTTTTGCTTCTTGAGGTTGCCTTCGGAGGATCGTTTTCAAAACTTCTGTTTTTTAGTGATTTTTGATCATTTAAAAATAATGTAAAATGAAAATTAACTCCTTCACTTAGATTGTATTAACTTTTTTGGTTTGAAAGTTTCCCCATTAAAATGGGAATTGGAGGGGAGGCTTGGTCAGATTCCAACAGAAGCCGGGCCCTCCTGCTACATCTGTGAGGTGGGCAGAGTGTTTTTGCTTCTCTTTCACATGTGTATAGAAACAGCCCTTAAGCCCCTTTTGTGTTAGGGATGTGAAACAAAGAATTGAGGTAGCAAACTGGAATCTGTATTCCACTGCTGCCGAATAATGACTTGAGAATGTAAAATTATTAGTCTATATATTTTCAAATAAATTGAGCAAATAAACTCTTAAAAATGAGAAAAATATCCATTTTATGCCTTCTGGATGTTTTCTCTGTCTCTTTGAGGATTATCTGATAACTGCACACACACACACATATCTCATGGACTTTTAAAGTTATTTTATTTCATGCTATTTCATTCTTAAAAATTAACTCCATAATAGGTTAGCACATTCAGTCTCTGCTATGGGTTGCAAACAATGAAAATACATCCTGCATATCAGATATTTACATTACTGTTCATAATAGTAGCAAAATTACAGTTATGAAGTAGCAACGAAAATAATTTTATGGTTGGGGGTCACCACGACATGAGGAACTGTATGAAAGGGTCACGGCATTAGGAAGGTTGAGAACCACTGAATTCTAAACCCTTTACCTATGGTAACTATTCTCACATCCTTTCTGTTTTGCTGTCACAGGGTTCCGTGTCATTTCAGTTGGTCTATATAAACTTGAGTTCCTATCACAACTGGTTAGTGTCTCTGTATTCTTGTTAAGCTGTTGCTTTTCACCCCTGAGGTAGTTGCATTTCAGAGAATGATGACGTTTTGTTATATTTCACTTTTTGATTGTGAAGTACTTTGGAAGAGCTGGGGATATTGAGGAATATTTTCTTATTTTTAGAGAGGCATTCATTTTAAGATCTTATGTGAGCTTTTAAACCTTGACACTAGAACATCTCAAGAGAAATGGAGTCTTTCTACAGGCTGTGTGTTAAAGTTTGTAGGAAGTTGAGAGAATTTTAGCATTTCAGTGTAATCAGATGGCATAATATTAAAACAGATTTCTTCAAAGGTAGCCATTAAATTTCAGATGTGCCCTACAGCTCAGTTGAATACTTTTGTGGGATGTCTTTCATGTATAAGCTATCATCAGGCATTGGAGGTCAGAGATACATAGATCCTATCGTCAAGGAGTTAACAAAGGGTTAATAATGCCGCACAAGTAAATACTCTAGAAAGTAGAGTAGGCAAGTCATAGAGGAGATACTCAAGACAGCAAATATATTCGAGCCCATTTAATTTTATGGTTTCAGGAACTCTTGTTGAAATGAAGATATTTAAAGTAAATACATATTTGGAGGATGGCCATGATTTAGTGCTAATGGGATTTGAGGGGTGGGGATTGGCAGGGCCATCAGCAAAGGGATGGATAGCAAAAGAAAGCAGAGGGTATATCTGGGGAATAACAGCAACTAGTGGCTGTACCAGAACACAGTAGTGCGGTAGTGGGAATTGAAGGAAAGCTAGTTTAGGCCGAGAGAATGAGCATATTAGTTTCTATTTTATAAAGTAGGTAAGGGGGCATTTTTGTTGTTTTTAGAATAATCAAGACGTGTGTGTGTGTGTGTGTGTGTGTGTGTGTGCACATTTTACTGGAGGACTACTTGTTACCCATTAGTGAAGCTCTGACTCTTTGAATGTCAGTCCAGTTCTCTACCCCTGACCAGCACCATCCTGCTAATAGCCATAACTATTCCAGCTTGGTAAGGGCATTTAATTTAACCAATCAGCAGATGGTTAAAACCCTTAAGAAAACTCAGTTCCACTCTTAATAGAAAACAAGTTCCTTTACCCACTCACTTCAAACTGTTCCCACTGAAAAGAATCTAATTTTTTTAAAAAATACTCTAACTAGATTCCTCACATATCTGGGCAAATGGGACAGGAGAACTGAAGTTGTTTTCTGAAATTCATCTTCCTTGTTTTTGTGGAAGAGTTAAATTCCCACTTAACGTTATTCTAATAGACTTCCCTATTTGAGTGTGTTGGTTTGTGTTAGTCTATGCAGGAAATGGGAAGCTGTGGAAGCTTTTATAAAAAATATATGAGAACAGGTTGCTAAAACCCTACGCGCGTGATTGGAAGCACAGTCAAGTTGTGCGCCCCTCAAGGGTGGCTTGTAATGAAAATACTGACAAGCCCCGAAAGAGGAGCTCCAGAGACTGCCTGAGAATATAAACGACCAGCTTCCTGGCCCTACTGAGCCACATTGCCAAGCTCCTGCTACTTGTTATTTCACTAAAGAGTTGGGTTTGGATTCCTAATGGGAAAGGGGAGAAGTAGGCAGAGGATGTTTCTATTGTTGCTGTTTGCAGGTTATAAGGCATATGGAAACATTTTTTCCCCCTGTCTGCCTAGCAATGGAGGGTCTCCATGGT